TGTGTGCCTGGGCCCACCAGGCAGTTCCTGCCCATGTGTGTCTGTGCCCATGAGCAGCTCTTGCACACGCGTGTGCCCAAGTGCTCTCAGCACAGCAGCTTTTGCACACACATGTGCCCATGTTCATGGCAGCTGCTGCCCATGTGTTTGTGCCCACCAGGCAGCTCTCGCACATACGTGTGCCTGGGCCCACCGGGCAGTTCCTGCCCACGTGTGTCAGTACCCATGAGCAGCTTTTGCACACACATGTGCCCATGTTCATGGCAGCTGCTATCCACGTGTTCCCCCACTCTTGCACAAGTGTGTGCCTGCACCCTCAGAGCAGCTCCTGTAGACGCGTGTGCTCACGTGTGACAGCTCCTGCTCATGTGTGATAGGTGTGTCCAAGCCTACAYGGCAGCTCTGGCACACGCGTGTGCCCGTGTGTGTGGCAGCCCCTCTCYGTGAGTGTSCCTGCCCCCAGGGCAGCTGCTATGYGTGTGCATGTGCAAACAGGAYRCRTATGTGCCCATGTGTGTGGCAGCTTTTGCACATTGGCGTGACCACATAGGACAGCTCTGACACACACATGTGCCCATGCAGACCCAACAGCTCTTACACACACCTGCCTAAAATGATGGGGCAGCCCTTGCACATACATGTACTTGTGTGTGACAGTCTCTGCCCACATTTATGTGGCCACAGAACAGCCCCTGAACACGTGTGTGTCATGTGTTCAGAGCAGCCTTTGCACATAAACATGTCCCTGCCCACCACGCAGCTCTTGCACACACGTGTGCCCATGTGTGTGGCAGCTCATGCCCACGTGTTCCTGCCTGGAAGGCACTTCCTTGCACACACGTGTGCCTGTGCCACAGAGCAGCTCCTGCCCATGTGTGTGTCCATCATACGTGTGCCCGCGTGCATGGCAGCCCCCGCCTACACGTGTTCACGAACACAGGTCGGCTCTTACACACACACGTGTGTTTATGGCAGCCCCTCTTCACGTGTGTGTCCACACACACAGGGCAGCTTTTGAACAGACATGTCTCTGTCCACTGGGCAGCTCTTACACACACACACACACACACACACACACACACGTGTCTGTGCCCGCTCTTACACACACACAGACTGAACATTTGCACACGTGTGTGGCAGACCCTGCACATACTTGTGCCCATGTTTGTGGCTGCCCCATCCACGCGTGTGTCTGTAGACAATGGTAGCCCCAGTATACACGCTCCTACCCAAGAGGCAGCTCTTGCACACGCGTGTGCACAAACCCATTGCACACCCCTTGCACACGCGTGTGCACAAACCCATTGCACACCCCTTGCACACGCGTGTGCCCACCATCCACACGGCAGCCTCTGCTCGTTTTCCCGTGCTCAGAGCAGTCCCTACCCGTGTTCCCGTGCCCATAGAGCAGCTCTTACACACACACGTGCCCACACGCGTGTCACCGTGTCCCCTCGCCCCGCCCCGTGCCCACGTGGCCCCTGGGGACACCGCCCCCCGGTGCAGTAGCGCGCAGTCCCCGCCAGGGGGCGGCGGCGGTCGGGAGCTCTTCCGGCGCGGGGGCTGCTGGGAGTTGTAGTCCCGCCCCGCTCCCCCCATGGTGCCGGTGGCGGCGGCCCGGTGCCGGTGTGGCGGAGGCAGCGCAGAGGCGGGCTCACAGCCCTTTTATTGACGTGGCGGGAGGAAAAGCGGGCGGCGGGGCCCGGCGCGGCTCGGCTTTCCCCGCGGATCCAGCGCTGCGCATTCCCGGCCCGCGGTTCAGGCCTCTGGCGGGGCCGGGGCGGGTCTGGGGAGAGAAGGGAGCGCGATGGGGTGAGGGTGGGGTCGGCACAGCTCCCCCCGCCCCGTGCTCTGGATCCCCACCCCAACCCTCTCCTTTCTTCTCTCCCACCTGATTCTGGCCCCTCATTTCTCCTGGCTAACCCATCTGCCCTCCCCACCTTCCCCTCTGGCCTCTGCAGGACCCCATCCTGGACCCCACAGCCTCCCCCATTCCCCCACCCCAGACCCTACAGCCCCTCATTGTGCCCCCCAGCCGTGTCCTGCCCGTCCCTGCTCACCTGGCAGGAATCACGGTGACATAAGGGTGCCCGGGCGGGGTCTCGCTGCGGGGCAGTGAAGTGCCCGGTGGGTCCGAGGGCAGCGGCCGCTGCGGTGGCGGGGGCTTGGCTGGACCTGGGGGCTGCAAGGAGATGGAGGGGAATCAAAACTCCGTCACGATGGGCTCGGGGGGTGGGAATTGGCCCCCTGCCCCACACGCAGGTGCTGCTGCCGTTACCTGARCGCTCAGCAGCACAGGGTCCGCGGGCAGCGGGCGTGTGGGGGGGGGCGGCCTGTCCGAGGGGGGGGCCTGGGCAGAGAGAGAGGGACAGTGAGACAGCAGGGGGACAGCGAGGGGACAGCGAAGGGCACGGGGACCAGCCTCCCGCTTGGCCGGGAGGGGTTTTGGGGACACCCGTGTCACAGAAGTCCCCGAGAGCTGGAGCGCAGCCAGACATGCAGCCGGTCCAGGGGGGGCTGAGGGACCCCCCCCACCCCGCCTGGGCATTACCTTGGGCACAGGGTCCGGCGGGAGGGGCCGGGAGGGCGGATCGGGCCGGGCCGARCCCAGGGCAGCCGGCTGCGGAGAGAGGGAGAGGGGGGACAAGCCATGCAGCATGCGGAGACCCCCCTCCCGCCAAGCAGAGACAGAGACCCCCCCTCAGTGCACGGCTCCGGGACCCAGCCCTGGCTGGGACGGGCATCAATCCCAGTGAGCAGTGCCAAGTGACCGTGCCAGGCTGCTCCGGGTGCCAAGGAGTGGGATCCCACATATGGGGTGTGCCGAGCTGGCACCCCAGGACCCGAGTGAACCTACAGCACCCCCATCCTCACCTTGCTGCCATGCATGACCCGCAGCTCCGTGGCCTGGCGCCACTGTGGGGGCCGGGGACGCGCGGGGGGACCTTGGCTGGTGCCCGAGCGGGGCTCTGGCTGTGAGATCCTGCAGGGAAGAGGTGGGAATGAGACCCTGCTCGCTTTAGGCACTTGGGAGAACCCGCACGGCGACCGAGCCACACCGACACCAGCAGAAGCCCAAGAGAAACGAACCCCTCGGCGCTGGAAGATGCGACACCCCGCACCCTGGGGCTGCCCCACACCCCGCGGGCGCTGCCAGGGGAAGAGCGCAGCACCGGAGGCCTTGCGAAGCAGGACGGCTCGGGGACAGCCCCACGCCCGGGCGCCGGCGGTGACGTTACCCGCTCCAGCCGTCTGCGGCTCCGGGACCCAGGAACCGCACCCGGGTCTCAGCACTGTGGGGAGAAGAGTTGGGGGCTCAGCCCGGGGCCGGGGGGCGGCGGCGGGAGGACGTGGGGTGACGGTGCATGACGGGGCTGTGACCTGTGCCGGGGGTGCACACACACACACACCAGGACTGTCACCATGCGGGGACACGCGTGCACAGCGCTGGGGCGGCCACCACGGGGGACACGTGTGTGTGTGCACATGCACGCACCGCACTGATACACACATGTATGCTCTGGTGCCCATCATGGCACACGCATGCAGGGTTGAGCATGCCACCTGTGTGCCATGGTGCACACATGCAGAGGTGTCACCTGTGTCACAGCGCACGAGAGCGAAGTTGAGCATGCCATTTATGTGCCACGCATGCAGAGGTGCGTGTGCCATTTGTGTGTCACAGCACACACGTGTGGAGGTGTGT